TTATTTTTGAAATTTTCATATTTAGACTATGTAATCCAATTAATAATAATATTTTTTTTTTTTTTTTGGTTCGAATTTGAACTAAAAATCAAAGGGCCAAATAGTTCATCAACTTTACACTCATACACTTGTGTCAATTTGGTATTTGCAATTCTAATTGTATCATTCCACCCTTAAATTTAGCACATTTAGACAATTTAATCCAATTGAAAACATCCTTTTAAAAATTGATTCGAAATTAAGGTGTAAAACTGTAACGCCCCCAAAATAATACAATAAAGATAACTCATATACGGAATAAATATGAGTAACAACGTACTTTCATACATCAGAGTTTACTGTTCAACACCCAGTTAAATGCCATATAGGCTTACATCTTTCCGAGTCATTGCTTGGTTACACAAATTGAGTCTCGCTCATTACATCTTAAGCCATTGGCTTTACAAATAACCAACATACACACATACAAGACATAATTAAGAAGCTCTTGCTTCCCGAAAGTCCATCCACGCTATTGCCTTGGAAAAAACATCTCACCTGCACCTGCAAATGGTATTCCCATATAGGGTGAGCCAACAGCCCAGTAGAAATAATCTAACACAATTTATGAAGTTTAGCAAATGTATAAATACCACGTACATAAAAAATACCGATACGGAAGTATCCACAAGGCCTGCATATCCATATGCCACTAAGACCAATCTTATTCCATTTTCCTTCAATTCATTTCCAATTCATATATGCTACTCAATTCATGAGTTAAATTCATTATCTTTCAACAACCAAGATGAGACTACAACTCAATGGTTTTCTAATTTGGGAAAACACACATAAACACTTCAAACCTTGCCATTTTACGGATATTTCGTCCGAAGGAAGTGGCACCCATTTATATTTTCTCAAATATGCCATTTTACAGATATTTCGTCCGAAGGACTCGGCACCCATTTATATAAGAGATTTCAGATCTTTCACCCAGGACACTTAGGCCAACTTGCTTTAAATGGAGTCCATCTCCTTTCTCCTCCCAAACAAATATACATATGCAATATATTTATAGGCATAAGTACATATGGAGTACATCCCCTTTCTTCTCCCAACAAATACACATATACGATGTATTTATAGCACAGTCATATTCAATGGCAACCAACAATAGATTAGCATTAAATCACCAAATTCTCATACAATTTCTACAACAATCATGACTATCCTCCACCGATAGCCCAATACATTTATCTCTAGACAAATATTAGATCTCAAGATAAATAATTGATTCAAAACTTCCAAAGGTGCGAGATAATACATATCCAATTTCACCACCTATATCAATAACCATCCAATTTAACATATTCAATGTTAATTTCAATTATTTATACAAAATAATCATTTTATCAAATTAGGGCAAAATTTCCTATTTTTCCAATATTGACCCAAACACCCAAAATCAACTATTTTGGTACACCAAAATCTTATATTCAAACCCCATACTCATTTATCTTTCATACATCAAAAACCCATTTTTTCATTTTACACCCAAATCTTAGATTTGTCCCAATCACAACCAAATCTCATCATCTATACACAATAGCAAATAACTAAACTAAAAACCATATTAGAGTGTAGAAAATCCCTACCTCAAGAAGAGAAGACGAGCAAAGCAAGGTTGAACTCCAAAACTGACGAAACCCACTTTTACTTAGATCAATACGAAGCTCTTGAAGCCCTATACCTTATTCTCAAAGACACCAGGGTCAAGAACTCAATGGATTTAGATGAAATCTTAGAGAGAATGTGAGTTTTTAGAGAGAGAAGCTCAAGATCTGGAAATTTGAAAACTTTTAGAGAGAGATAGAAAACAGAAAATGATCTGAAATGTCACTTTCACGATCTGATAAAATGTGGTCCACTCAAGCATGGAAAGCCCCGCTCGAGCGTAAGACACAAACTCCCGCTCGAGCGTGAAACCCTGCGCTCGAGCGTAAAATACGCTCTCCCAGTATTTTTGCAGACACAGTCTCCGCTTGAGTGCCCGAATGCCCGCTTGAGCGTGGAGCAAAATTTGTTGCCAGAATGCCCGCTCGAGCGGAATAGCCAAATTCTTGGCAACAAAAGCTTGGAAAAATAAGCAACCAACCTGTTTTCAACACACAACTACAACCCAATAACCAATATTAAGAGGAAGACAAGGGAAACAAGACATGAACCACCATCCAAACCATACAAACCCGAGTCTGGAACACCACAAGAGACCGGTCAAAACCAGGGTCGCTATAAAAACAGTTTATCCACTCTCCTCAAAATGATTGAGAAATTGATATTTAATTTGAAATAATTCGTTCTCTTTTGAATGAAATATTTTGTTCTTGATTTTTGTTCAATTTCTAAATAACTGTTATCAATTTGATTAAATTAACACAATGTAAAAAAATTAGAAGGGACAATCGATACAATTAAAACTACTGCTATCAAATTAGCAAATGACCAATTACAGGAACATGCATATAATTTATCCAAATAGTTTTAATTGTAACCAGGAAATTATTAGAGCATTGAACAAGCCATGATACATTGGGCTTGTTTGGTAGAGCTTATAAGCTGCTTATTTCAGCTTTTAGCTTAATTTAAGCTAAAATATTGTGTTTGGTGCAGCTTAAGTTAACCAGCTTATAGCTTAAATCAAGCTATTTCTCAGCTTATCTCAAAAGCTGGTCAGGGGATGCTCAAATTTTTGACTTAAGCGCGCAGCTGGTGTGGGGGAGCTAAAATTACTTAAATGCCCTCGCCAATACTCAAATATTAATATTAATTAAAAAATAAAAAATTGTATATTTCTTAAGAAAAAGAAAAAAATCAATATTAATTGGTATTAATTGTTAACAAATTCATATTGTATATTTTTATATTAATTAAAAAGTGAAAAATTGTATATTTCTGAAGAAAAAGAAAAAAATCAATATTAATTGGTATTCATTATTAATAAATTAATATTGTATACTTTTGTAATGAATTCATTATTAATTGATACTAATTAATAACAATTGTTGATTATTGATATTAATTGATACTAATAAAAATTAAATATTAATATTAATTTATACTAATTAATAATTTTAGTATTAATTGATACTAATTAAGCAATTAATTAATACTAATTAATTTATAATGAAAAATAATTGTGACAATAATACTTCCATTCATTTTTAGCAAACGTATCAATTTTTATATTAATTGATACTAATTAATACTAATTATATTAACTTTTATTAATGAAAATTAAAACTGAAAAAAATGAAAATATAATCATTTTTATATCATATATGGGTAGAAAGGACAATTGTATAGTAAAAAGTTATTTTACACTTTATTAACCAAACACTACTCTGCTGCTTAAACTCATAATCTCACAGCTACACCAAACAGGTTAACAGCTTATGTTCACAGTTATAAGTCATAATCTATTAAGTTATAATTTATAATTACTTTTGCACAACTCTACCAAAAGAGACTATTAACATCCTAGCTAAAATATAAAACAATATATATAAAGTTCTAAGAAGGTCAAACATAAAAGTAACAATTAATGCCAACACATAAAGCATCAAACAATTCACACAACCAGGAGATAATATTATGATTAGAAACAAATCCTCATAGAGGAAAGCAATGGTCCTGCAGCTTCACATTCATCCTCTCTTACCTGCAAAAAGCAACTATTTGAAATGATAACAACTCTTTCGTCAGCTAGAAAATATCATTACAAAAAATTAAGCTTTTAAAATTTAAAATTTAGGAATAAAATTATTTTTTAGAGAGTAAATATTTTTGTTGTGAAAAGTGTCGTTATTATATTTTTAGCAACGAAAATCAAACATTAGTGATGAATTATTATCTTTTTGCGATCAAATTTTTTGTCTAAAAAAATAAACCATTTTGAGACTAAATTATTGTCTCTAAAAGTCTATTTATTACTAACATTTTCAAAATTTTGTCACTAAAAGCCTTGTGTTTTACTTTTCAAAACAATCTTTTAGCGACTATCATCATGACAATAGAAATTCACCTAATGTCTTTTGTAACAAAATTTTTACTTTTAAAGATCAAAACATTTGATTTCTAAAACTCTTATATATTATAGTGTATAGTGAACATTTGATCAAGTGGACATGTCCATTTTAATCTAGTCTGTGGGGTCTATTTATATTTATTCGAATGGGGTGGATTTTTTCTACTCCACACTTACGTAAGGTGGGAGTGGATTATATTTTGGTCACCTGCAATGAGGGTGGGGCGGGGGCAAATATCATCTCTCCTAATCTAAACCCGACCCGATATAATTAATAATATATAAATAAATAATATACATGTATGTATATATATAATTAGATATAACAAAATAATACTAAAAGTACGAAGTTCTAATTAAATATAAATAAATAATAATACTAAAATTATCACTGTTTATATATATATATATATGGAAACTAGGAAAAATATTTAGTATGTTAAGGATTTCAATGGTTCTCAATTTTTTTAACTATTTAAAATGTGGTCCAATATCTGTGGCTATTCGCAAGGGCGGAGGAGAGTGGAGCTTGTTCGCAATGGCAGACACGAAAAATGGCAAAACCGTCCCTAACCCACCCCGGGGCTATCCCTAAAGTGGATAGAAAATAAGGGTGCTGTTATGGTATGCAACCCCTTAAGGTTGCACACCATATGCAACCAACACAAAATGTGTAAGTGGAAGGTATAAACATGAAACAGGATAACAAACAAAAAGGCGTAAGTGTAAGGTGTAAGTTGCACACTTAAGAAAAGTCAAGAAAATAATCCTTTAAATGGCGATTCTTATGGGTGAAAATTCAGTACTAAGTTCGAGGCAAAATCTGCATTTAATTGAAATGATTAAACTAATCCCTTTCTTACGTATCCAACACAATAACAACGAAAAAAAGAAAAGCTAAAGCATTGCATACCTGGGACACCATTTGTGCTTGCTACTTTCTTCTTCCACCATGTCTGTTACCACTCTTGTGTGACCTTCTTCCTTTGTTATATCGTTCTCCGTCAGCAATTCTTACAAACCATTTCGGTTTTCCAGTTAAGAACATAAGATATCCCATTACCAATCCCAATACCATTCCACATCCATATCCCATCCCGACCACTTTCCAATTAAATTCACTTGCAAAAGCTGGATCATCTTCCTTGTGCAACATAGGTGTTGAATGCAGTTGTGGTGTCTTACTATCTCCACATCCCTTCGACAGCGGAAATCCACATAATGCCAGGTTCCCATCGTATGAGCAATTGTCAAACGTTTCGAATTGGTGGCCTCGAGGTATGCGACCCTCGAGACGGTTTTGTGAAAAATTTATGACTTCAAGAAACGTCAAACTTGTCAATTGTCTAGGAATATTTCCAGAGAGCTGGTTTGAGGAGAGGTCCAAGGATTCAAGCAATCTTAGATTTCCCAATGATGAAGGGATATTGCCAACAAGGTCGTTGTGAGATAAGTTAAGCAACCGAAGTCCACCAAGATTTCCGACAACATTTGGAATCTCTCCTTTAAATTTGTTATGTGACAAGTCAATTGTCATGAAGATTGTTAGAATTCCTTGTAGTTCAATCTCAGACCCCTTTATCATGATTGTCACTGAATCAGAATAATAGGATTGCCCCATATATCTTCTTTTCGCCTTTTCATCGACCATCTTCATAGCATTAAAATGCTCGAAATATGTTGTTGGCAAAGGGCCACTAAACTCGTTGTGAGAGAGGTCAAAGATTCGAAGCTTAGGGAAGGGGAGTTTAGTTTTGGAAGAGTCCACGGGACCATGGAATTTATTGGATTGAAAGACTAGGACTTGCAACTCTTGAAGAGTTTCCAACCAGTAGGGAAATGCGTCGTTGATTTTGTTGTTTCCCAAGTCTAGAACCTCCAAGTGTCTACATGTTGCCAAGGATCGTGGCACTGAACCTTCCAACTGATTACCATTTAAATCAATATTCCTCAACTTGTTCCCCTCTGCAAATGTGGATGGAATGTTACCGTGAAAATTATTCATCCTAAGATCTAACACACTGAGTACATTGCTGAAGTTTGCTAAACATTGTGGAATTACACCACTCAAGCTATTATGAGACAAAGCAAGTATCTCAAGGGAACTCACATTGCAAATCATCGAAGGGATTTCTCCGGTGAATGTATTGTTTGAGAGGAGAAGGTCGACCATCATCGGGTGTGATGGAATGGGGCCATGTAGCTTGTTATGACGCAAATCAATATAAATCATTGACTTATTTGAAAATTCATAGATTTGACCTGTGAATTCATTTGCAGCAAGTGATAAATACGTCAAAGATGGAAGATTAAACAGCCAACTCGGCAGCGTCCCACTATGGTAGTTATAATCTGAGTAAAAATATCTTGAGTTTGAAAGCCCTCTTAAGTTGGCGGGAAACGGACCAGTCAGTTCATTCACCCCAATGTCTAAATAAACAAGTTGTGTCAAGTTGGCTATCCAACATGGGAATTGACCTTTAAAATTGTTTCCCCTCATATTAAAATAAACAATCTTTGAAAGGTTGGCAATATTGGGAATTTGGCCTTCAAGACAGTTATATGAAATATACAGGAAACAGAGTTGCTCAAGATTTGAGAATATAGATGTGACCTGACCACTGAAATTGTTTTGAGAAAGATACAAGTCAGTCATTTGTGTGAAGTTCGCAAAATAATTGGGAATTTGGCCTTCAAAATTGTTACCTGATAGAGCCAAATAAGCCATCTGCGTAAGATTCCCGAGGGACATAGGTATGGACCCCGAGAGGTTGCAATAAGTCAGATACAAGGATTTTAACGACTTGAGATAGCCAACGGAATCAGGTAGCTCTCCAGTGAGATTAGGATTGTAACCTAAGTAGAGCTCTTCTAATGGCAGGTGGAAAATTTCATCTGACAATTTCCCCTGCAAACCGGATTGATAAAGATCTAGATGCGTCAAAGAAGACAGATTCATCAAGGAAATGGGCACAACTGAAGATATGTTCACGCGGGCAAGACAAAGATATTGTAACTGGGTAAGGTTTTGAAGCAGTACATGGAAATTGTATGGTTCAAGTTTGACTAACTGATAATAGGAAAACAGGTCTAGAGAAACCAATTTAGATAGGTGGGAGATTTCTGATGGGAATGATCCAGAGAAACTGGATGAGAGGTTGAGATGTGTCAAACTTGAAAACTGCCCAAAACTAGGAGAAATCCTTGATTGAGTGAAGTCATTGAAGGCGAGATTGAGTCGCTGGAGGTGACTGAGACTAAAAAGACTGCTGTTTAGTGGTATGGTGCCATAGAGCTGGCTCCAACTAAGATCAAGCTCAATCACTTGACCAGTCATCCTGTCGCATTTGATCCCATCCCATAAACAACAGTCAGTAGTAGTCTCATTCCATGACATTGTTTTCGGATAAGAAGGGTGACCATAATAATGATCACAAAGCCAAGATGCAGAATCATTTATAGCAAGCATATGCTTAAATTGGAGTAATGCAGAGCTCTGGTCAGGAGAACACAGATGATTTGTTGGAGAAGAAGAAAAGAAAGCAGGTTGACATTGTAAGGTAAAGAAAAGAAAGTGGAACAGGCATACTAACCACCTCATTTTTTTTCTTAATCAAACCGAGTATGATTGTTTGAAAGAAGAAAAGATAGGGTGTCCAAGTTATGATTATGTCAGTCTTGCCGATCACTTTATACGGTGAAATAAAATTACCAAACATTATTTTCTAAGTGAAATTTTTTTCAATTAAATATCTAATTTTATCGCTAAAAATTAAATAATAATAATTTTGGAGACAAAAATATTTTATTTCTAAATTTTTGTTTCTAAATTTTTAATTTCTTGTAATTACTTATAAATATCAAGAAAATTAAAGTGGTGGCCTTGACTCTCCACATTTTAAATTAGACACCAATCAATATCAACGCAATGGAAAATATCTTTGATGGAACCATTAATGAAAATACCAGCTCATAACCCAAGGGGTTGTGGTATTGTGGTAAGGTCTTGAGATTTTAAGCCCTAAAGTCACACGTTCAATTCTCCCTTGGGCCAATCTCCTGAGCGAACCACTGTTGATTAGGAGGTTGGACCTCAAGGATGTCTAATCAGATACTTGGTGTGGGTTTAATGCTCCCCCGCTGTGCAAGTCCTAACTTAATCGAAGCTTGGCTTGGGAGGTCGGGACAAGCTTCCAGATTATAGTCTCTTATTTGGAACGGACAACAGGACACCCTGGTGATCTCCTTATGGGGCGTTGCCTTGGACCTGCGGGAGGGTGGAGGATTTCCCCGTAACAAAAAAATAAAATAAATAAAAAAAAATACCAGCTCATTAAAAAAATATTTTTGTAATTTGTAGTTTTTGTTTGGTTCATAAAGTGCTGGCCTTGACTCTCCACATTTTAAATTAGACACGAATCAATATCAGCGCAATGGAAAATATCTTTGATGGAACCATTAATGAAAATACCTGCTCATTAAAAAAATATTTTTGTAATTTGTGGTTTTTGTTTGGTTCATTGTAAGAGAAAGGGAAAGATAAAATAAAATGTGAATGAAATATAATTATCTTTTATACATTTTTTTATTTCTCTTCTTGAATTTCTACCCAAATATATATAATAATAAATAAATAAAACCTTAAAGTCTTTTGAATCTAATCTAATATGGCTTAGGACAAATTTCACTTTATCCCCTTGTGGGTTGACTCATGTGCAAATTATCTCCCTCTTATTTGGAAATGACTACATAACTGCATTGTATTTTGTGGATTGAAGTGCAATGTTAGGCTTTTTAACAATTTAATAAAAAACTATAATACCCTATATGGAAAATGTTTGAGAGCCACAATTTTTGTGGCTCAAATGGCTCAAAATTGCCAAAACGACGTCGTTTTGGTAATTTTGAAGTTGTTTTGCACTCAAAACGATGTCGTTTTAGCAATTTCGAGCCATTTGAGCCACAAAAATTGTGGCCCTCAATCATTGTTGTACCCTATATATGTAACATAAATGTGTGAATTATGAATATTTTTATCATTTGTTTGGGAGATAAAATACACTTTAATCCCTTGTACTTTATTCTATGTGTAATTTATTCCTATGAATTTTGAAAATGTATATATAACCATCTTATGTCTGTTACATGTCACACTTATTGTTAAGTTGAACGGAATGTTTAACAGTATATTTTACTCCATAAATAATAAGAAAGTTATATGATTATTTTCAAATGGGAAAAGGTAATCTGCACATGTATAAAAACATATGGGTAAAGTAAACAGAAAAGCTTCCTACCCCCAGCTGGGGGTGACACCCAGTGAGGTGTCAGCTGGGGGTTGGTCAAAAAAACAGTTTTTTTTTTTTTTTTTTTTTTTTTTTTATATTTCCGACCAGTGGGGGCGCGCCACGTCACTGGGGGCGCCACCCCCACTGGGTGTATGAAGCATTGTTGGTAAAGTAAAATTTTCACTATCTTAAAAGTGGAGAGTTTATAAATTTATTTTTTTATTTTTTAAATTTTACTAAATTAATAAAAAGTCAACAAAAAAATATTCACTCAACCAACTTTCAATGTTCTATTCTTAGGATGTTTTTCTAGTGATGAGAGACTTGATTTATTGGGGCTGAATAATCGAAGGGCATCTTGATGACGAATGAATCAATAGGGAAAGGGCATGGGCGCTTTGTTCAATTGTTTTTCTGATGTACCCCAAAATAATAATAGTAATAAAATAATAAATAAAAAATACAAAAACAAAAACAAAAGAAAAGAAAAGAAAAAAAAAAAAGAAAGAGACAAAAGGCAAATTGATGGATTTGGAATTTTTTTAGCTATTTTAGCCACAAAAGATAAAATGGGATTTTAGCCATAAAAAATAAAACATCACATTTAACTCATAATCATTACACTTTTCTCTTATAAAAAAACTAAAAAAGTCAAAAAGTCCTTCCCAAACTAAGCTTTTTAACCAAGGCTAAAATAGTCAAAAAAATTAAAAAATCAAAAAGTCAACCCACTTTCTAAACGAAGCCATAGAGAAAGATTGATATTCTTGACTAGCATAAACGTATCGATATTTAGGCCCCCTTTGAGGGGACTTGGGGTCACTGCTGTGCCAAAGGCACAGCAGTGACTGTTGTGTCTCATTTTGAAATACATTATGAGTTTATTTTTATGATCTGAATCGTTCATTTTGTAGGATTTGTTCAGTACTTCAAGCCTATCAAAAATGACATTAATCGGATATCAATAACTATATGATCGAATTGCATATTTTTATACTATTTTTCAAAAGAAAAACTTCTTGTTTATTTTTAGTTATCAATCATATAGTTATTGGTATCCGATTAATATGATTTTAGGTAGGCATGAAATACTCAACAAACCTTACAACATGAACGGTTCAGATTATAAAAATAAATCCATAATGCACCACAAAATGAGACACAACAGTCACTACTGTGCCCCCAATTCCCCTTTTTTGAGGATGTTGGTTTTTTAGTTAAAATAGTTAAAAATTTAAAATATCCAATCAAATCACACTCTTTATATCTTTTTGCACGATTTTTTTCTAAAATAATTAAAATAGTCAAAACAACCTCTTAAAATCATCTTAAAATCAAAACAACTAAGGACAAATCTACTTAAATGATTGTTATTATTATTTTTGAATAATAATGTATAAATAAAAAATTCATACAAAATAATATAGGTCAATGACAATCTTTTAATTTAAAACAAAATACTTATAAAAATAATTTATATTTACAATAATGATTTTTTATGTACTTCTAACGTTTGATTAAAATACGAATCACCTCCCGTGGTTTTGAAAATTGCATTCCACCCCCTGAGGTTTTTAATTTCATAACAAATCAACCCTTTTATTAATAAATTATTAACTCAATTAACAGTTTTTAATAATGTTAAAAATATGTTTCAATTAATAATTTAAGTAATTTCATTATTATATAGGAGAGTAATTATGAATTTTATTTTTTTAATTAATTTTGTTAAATAAAAAATTATAATAAAGGGGTATTTCTAATTTTTTAAATCACAGAGGACAATCTATATTTTAAACAAATCTCAGAAGGTGTATTTAAAATTTACCCTAAAATTTATATATAAATAGAAGTTTGAGAAAATTTCATTAGATAGTAGGTTTAGAAAGTTATTTTATAATACAAAGCCATAAGTATTTTATCAATCTCTAAATATTTTGTGAAGTTTAGAAAATTATTTTATATTACAAAGCCATAAGTATTTTATCAATCTCTAAATATTTTGTGAAATTATCATTGATATGTCATGTCTCCTAGAAATTTCTTTCTTATCAGTTACGTTAAAAGGATGGACTTTTACCGAAGTTTAGAATTTGTGAAAACTTGTGAGGTTCGTGGGTCCCATTATAAATCATTGTTTTTTCCGAAAATAGACGACTGAGCTGTAAATCACAGGGAGAGGCGAAAAGACTATGACTATCATCCTTATTCGAAAAAATCAAAAGTCTTGCGCAGTGCGCGGAAAAGCTTTGTGGGACATGGGGACACTGTTTTTAGTTGATGTTGGACTTATTTTGATAAGCAATAATGATTCATCTTATTAATTTCGGAACACTAATTGATCATTATTAATAATATGAAAATTTAAAAGAAAAAAAATTTAAGGATAAAATATTACATCAATAAATGGGACTCACTAATTAGTGTTTTCTTATGTTGTGTTTGGTTGTGGGATTTGGAGAGGGATTTGGAAAGGGAAATGGAAAAGGTAGGTGAAATGTGAATAAATCATGCTTATATTTCACATAGTTTCACACACCTAGTGTACTAATTAGTGTACCAACACCAGTTATGACATTATTATTGACCCCACTTATTAATTACATTACAAATACCAAAAATCTCTTAAATTATGCCACATCATCAATTAGTACACTAGTTAGTACATCAATTGGTGCATATAACATTATTCATTAAAAAACGGTGGTGCTACATGCATCAATTAGTGTACTGATTAATGTACCAACACTAGTTATGAGGTGTACCATGTGTACCCGTAGTTATGCCATTTTATTATTTAGTTATGACCAATTTTCTTCTTGGGAGATTTGGTCAAAACCCCTTCATAATAAAACTTTAATACATTAAGGACAAGTATAAAAAGTTTTCCTTCAAAAATTCAATACATACCATTATTATCAAAATATTAAATATTAAAATAATATAACTTTTGATGTAGATATCGATTTTTAATAAAATTAGTATTTTTAAAATTTCCTTATCAAAATCTATCAAATAAGATCCAAATTGACTTTAAAATTCGTAAAAATAAAAAAATTTATTACCGTCGAAGTTGATGTAAACAGTAACATTAATATTTTATTCTGTC